CGAGCAAACTAGACAGCACCGGGAGGATACAGCCATTAATATTTTGCTAACAAGAGCCCTCTATGGTCAAGTAGAGTTTGAACAATTGGCACCCTGGCAAAATGCAAGCAAGCCTGCCCTCCAGAACGGCACGAAGCCATTCGGGATCCTACCTTGGATGATGCCGCGCATGTGCAGGATGAGCGTTGTGAAACGTTTGATGGCGTTGTTCTTCAGCTTGGTCCTGTCGACGTGCTCCATCATGTTTACAAAGCTCCTGCATATCTCGATACACTCCCTTCCCGGACATAGCTCCACGATGGGAACTGGGGAGAAAGAATGGCAGACAAGATACAAAACGTGCAAAGCACAGAGTAAATATTTTGATTGGACAAATTATCAACGATACAATAATTCACACACGCGATCATTTTGTTCTATCACACTCGCACGATTTTTATCATTATAGCTGCGCCTCTTCCCCACCCCTGTCTTTGAAGAACGGGTACTGTGGTGGAAAACGTTCTCCATGGAAAACATGTTCATGGAATAGAAAATGTGTGTATTTTCATGAACTGCCGGGGTTGCAGTACAGCGCCCAGAAGACGCGGGCCAGTAGTATGGCGCGCAGCAAAGACAGTGCCGAGTGGGAGTGTAGCCTGACGCTAACGGATGATGCTAAAAATGAAAAAAGTACTGTAATTTCACAAATTTTCGGTTTACTTGTATTTTCGGTACTTTCGGTGCATCTGTTTCATACCTAAAATTTCAATACACCAAACAAACACTAACACACACAATACAACAGGGAACTGCCACTCTGTACCGAAAACTTCTGTTTATCAAACCTGGCCTTTTCCCCTCATACTGAACATATTCAGCACCGACAATTTTTGAAACTGGAGTACTCGGATCATTCTTTAACTATACTAGGAACATGCTCCACAATCACAAACTTTTATCTAAATGGTGCAGAGCATGTGAAAAGGGTGCTCAGGGTGAAAATTGCAGGTTTGGGGTTATCTTGGCCTCGTGTTAGGCCTTCCAGTTTCACAATGACTATAACAATTTGCAGAGAAACCGGGCGAACCTGCAAATACCTTACGTGATGAGAGGCTTTATCAAGTCCTTCCAAGTACATAAGGAGCTTATAATCTTGCGCACAGACACATTAATTCACTCTCTCACGCACGCACGCACAAACACACCCACACACGAACACACGCACCCACACACACGCACACACATACACACACACATGCACACACACACACACACACACATGCACAGGAACACACACATACACACATGAACACACACACGCACATACCCTGCTCGTCATCATCTATGGGTGATGGGCGATTCAATGCGATGTCCAAGAAGTTACAAACGGAATCCACCACCGACAGTTCAGTTTTGTACATAGTGAGCACCTTCACAGCTTCCGAGATATCCTCTTGCGTCAGGCGAAATTGAAACGTAGCTGATTCTTGTACCCACATATTAACAAGGCATACAACACACAAAATATACACAAAGGTTCATACCCAATCTCCGGAAAACTACCTAGTTCGGCCTCACTAGGTGTCATAAACGTAGCTCGAGTGAGCGGCCGATCCTATGGCAATGAACTCAAGTGTGCTGTTAGGTACCTCCTCCCGTACGTTCTACAACCTTTTCCAAGCTGGCCTGCATGCACCCTCGTACTCACCCTTTGTCTCCTTTTGTCACCTTTTGTTCCCTTGGCCTGGGTAGCTACTTGCGCGGCCATATCTGCCATAGCTACCCAGGCCCTTTATCTTGCCGCCCTCACTCAATCTCTCTCTCTTCCATAATGTAGTTGTTTCGTTCGTCTTTGTCTCCGTCTCCCCATCTCCCCTAACGTATGTTTTAATCAGGTGAAAGTGTCAAGGTCAGAGTGGTCTACTCATGACAAACACAGTCGCCTTCAACACTAGCCAGAAAATAAGTGCCGAACCAAGTCAAGGCGAGAGAGCGTAACACTCAATCTCTGTTCACAGGTTCATACGTCAAGGCCGTCACAGCCGGGGCAGCTGAGGCCGCCCCACCCTTTCGGCGGTTTTTTTTTTTTTTTTTTTTTGGAGCATTTTACAACAAAGCGCGATGATCGCAGCTTAGCGCAAACGTGACAAATCTTTGTCCCCGACCCCTCGATCGTGGTTTGTTGCAGAAAAAAGTCTTTCATTGCTAACACTGAAATGGCACCAAATGCCAGGAAATGCTTGCAATTGGCTTCAATTTTTGTGAATTTTTTCCCGGGGGAGGGTAATGTTTGTCCCCGATCGTAGCGTTTTCTTGGTTTGTTGCAGAATCAAAAAGACTTTCATTGTAGTTACCGTACACTGAAATGGCACCAAATGCCCGGAAATGCTTGAAATTGGCTTCAATTTTGAAATTTTTTCCCGGGGAGGACCCCCGCACCCCCCTTCCGTGGCCGCCCCACCTCCTAAGTCGGTGCGACGGGCCTGTGCGTATACCAGTACTGAAGCACATGCACGTGCGCTCCAGTGCACACATGTTCACACGTACGTGCCCGCAAGCATGCACGTGCAGGAACACACACTCCCACACCCCCCCCCCCCACACACACACACACACATACGCACACACACGCACACACACACTCCCCTCCCCCCCCCCCCCACACACACACACTCGCGCGCACGCACGCACATGCACATTCCCACACGCATACATGCACACGATTTCGTCTACCTTATCTACCCTGCCCCACAGTTTGGAGCTGCGGCATTGGACGCCTGATCATGGCGTGGCGAGGTTCCATGGAAGAGGAAAGGCGGTTCTGGACACACCCTTCTGGTTTTGGATCCGTATTAGTGTTACTGTTTAACAAATCGAAATGTGCATGCTACAGGCTGGTTCGCCGATAAGTAGAGCTACCTATGACAGATTCAGGCCTTCCTTCATTCACTCCAACTCAATCTCTGGCTGATCCTCTCTCTCTCTCTCTCTCTCTCTCTCTCTCTCTCTCTCTCTCTCTCTCTCTCTCTCTCTCTCTCTCTCTCTCTCTTTATGCCTCTCCCTCTACATATTGGGTTCAAACCTAGGAACTAACTTCTGGAAAGGTTTCTTCGCACACCTCCCTACGGCCTCCCGTAACAAGGCAACATTTGGTACATGGAAGACACCAAAATAGAAGAAGAGGATGTGCATATACTCTTTTGGTCTTGTCCTCGTCCATACACTCACCATCCTCAGTGACCAGGCTTGCCAGTAGCTCAAAGAGACCTTTGCAGAAGGTGCCGTTCTGTTCCTGTGCATGACCACGCAGCAAGTCCAGGTATTTCCGCTCAGCAAACAGTGGCGACGCAAGGACAATACCACGATTGTCGGCCTTCCGCATCAAATCTTTAACCCTCCGGTATTCCACCATTATAGTACCGGCAATCGTAGTTTTGCCGCTGCCTGCACCGCTAAACGCCATCGTGTTCGTTACTACTGTCTTTTTCAATCCTACTTCATCCATCATCAGCAGAGTAAGTTAGACAAATTAATGAGTCCGCCTATTTCACTATCTATTCCTAAACCTCCGCTGATCTGCACACCACTATCCTTATCCTTGACTGCATCACGCAATAGTTTCTGCGCCTTCAGGAGAGACGCCGGGAACTCCGCAGATCCGCCAACGGCACACCTTTGACCTCCAAGAACGGCAGCTACATTTTCATTGCTGAAATCACTGCATCAGCTTCTAGTCGGGGATCCGAAATCTGTAGGATGCTTTTTTATTTTCGGGGTATGCCACTCCAGAGGGAGGACTTGAAACTTCGCACAGAGGTAGGTAAGGGTCTCTAGAGGACGATTTGAGAACTTGGCCGTCCCGAAGCTGTGCACCAATGCCGGTGCAAGGAGGTTTGTTCGCTCGTCGAACACTATTTCGTTGCCGTGATTTCACAGTATTTGCGCCGTTCAGCGCTTGAAAATGGGGGAAAATCAGTGGGTTTCCCCCGACGTAGCCAGACATTTTCATACGAATGACGCAATTTTGCTAGATTTTCAAGAGAAACACAAAGAAACACGAAGCAAAAACCGCAAAGTCACTCCGTCCATGAAGAATTTTCATTCTGTTTGTGTCTTTGTGAGTTCTGAAGTAACATAGCTGGTTCGTTGGAGGAGGACATGACTGGTGTTCCTGAGATTGTCGTGCGTAACGGCTAAATCAGTAAATGACTTGCCACTTGACCCTGATGTCGACAGGCAGGTCTCGTAGGAACTGTCCGTCTCCATCGAGGTGACTCTGGATTGTTTTTACCAATAGTGTTTTGTAGATTGATCATCACTACAAACGATTTCATGCTAGTCAATGAGCGGACTGACAACGTGTGGTAAGGTACACACCATGGCAGCTGCCTTGAACGGAATCTTTGATTATAATACCAGTGAACGTAGAAATGCATGACTTATCTTGAATAACGTCTCTTTGAATCATTGTTTTGTTGAAGTTTCGGGTGCTAGGCTGCACAGTGACATGCATACGTGGAAGCATTCACATAATCATTGTAGAAGATCATGGGATGATTATTTCCCTCTACTACTTCATTCAGTCCTTTGTGTGGTAGATTGAGTAGTACTAGTATTAGACCTATAATGTAGTATATTAGGAATTAATAATAATTATTATTTCCGCAAATGCAATCAGTAAATGTGGCGGTATTATAAACATGTAGAATATAATCATAATTATATTTAAAAAAACTACAGCTACGGTGCATCATTATTATTTTTATGTGAACAAAGGCTGAAAGCAGATAATTGTAAACAGTGTCATGGACGCGATATGCATCGGCACCACCGCATACATCCAGGCAAGACGATGTAGCGCAATATCTGTGTTGAACGGTTTTTGATCCCTTCATCATGGAGAACAGTATCCATTCTTCATCCGGTTTGCGATCCTCTGCTCTGTGCTGCCAACCGTACGTCCACTTGTTGCTCACATGTGTAGTGCTAGCATGCTGCTGAGCGGGTTGTCACATTCGGACATACATCGGCGAGTACCGTAAAAGCCCGTAATAAGTATGTCAATGCACTTGCCAGCACTGCAACCCCTGTATCTGCCTCTGGGCTAGGCAGTTGACCATTGGCATTGATTGCACGGCCAGCAGCACCTCGGTGTCAAGACATTGCAGATGCAGTGAACTGACGGTGGCCAAGAACTCGAAAGCCCTTCTCTGATAGACCCATAACCCATTGCTGAAGAGATCTTTTACTCCATCTCGCCCGACCTGGAGCGCCACTTTTTTGAAGGTCGGCTCCCTGACTAGTTCGAAGGTAGTAGCTTCCAGGTAAGAGATGAGACCAACGCCTAAACATTCTAGTGACCATGGAGTTGATTCACTCACTCGCATTGCCCTGATCAAAACCGAAAAAGAAATCTGCTTGACATGTCTTATGCCGTTATGGTGCGCTAGCTCCACGGTGGTGCAGCCGCTTCAGAAAACATTGTTTGAGATTTGTCAGTTGTTCCCTATAATACTGTCTTGTACATCACCAATTTGGATTATTATCTTGAGAAAGCGGAAAACTGCTGGGAGATGCAACGCGCCCAGTTTCGTCACTTCCATCGTTGTCTGCCACGTAACCATGGTAACTGCAAGGACATTGCTACAGGCCAACTTAGATTATTGCACCACTCACCTCCGATTTCACTTTCTCCGACTTTGAACAAAATTGGAATTTCCAACTTTGCCGGTATCAGCGGATGAAGTTGCTTGTCCCGTTGGAATGCCCGCTTCCTGCCGAACAGGACACTTGACGGACTCACGACTGCAGTCCGGAGCACACGAGGAGCTGCACATCAGGGAAAGTGTAACGTGCTCCTCGTGTGCTCCGGATTTGGCAGTTGTGAGTCAGTCAAGTGTGAAGCACGGCAGGAAGCGTGTGTTCCACGCAAGAACAAACAACTTCATCAAGTAACTAAAACTCTTCAGTGATTTCTTGCACACAGCCTTTGCTGAGATAGGAATTCCAACTTCTTTTCTGTGCGTACAATAAAACCTGTAATGGCGACCACTCGGATATGGCGACCACTCGACCATGGCGACCACTTTCCCTTGTCACGGACGCATTCAAATTCAAAACACCTCGGATAAGGCGACCACTCGCTCAACGCGTCCGACGACCACCCACCCGCGACCGCGTTGCACAGTGCTAGTCATGTAAATGTACACATTGCATGGTGCACCAGCCACCAGGCATGGTAGATCTACACACCAGTGCAGGAAGTGTAGATGTACATGCATGGTGCATGTACGGCATTTGACAGGTCTGCGGACCCCAGGCACACTGGCCGTGCTAGAGTAGCATAGGTGTGATGCACTGATCAACATGATGTATCACATGTGGATAAGGTCACGTGACCCACTGAACCTGGATAAGAAGACCACCTGGCCACGCCGACCACTTTTTCTCGTCCCTCGAGGGGTCGCCTTAGACAGGTTTCACTGTACATGTGTGAGTGTGTGCATGCGTGCATGTAGATGGGTGCCAGTTTCTACTTTCTATGCACCAGCTGAAGAAAAATAGTGTGTTTAGTCTCGTTCCATTGCTAACTTGTGCAAGCTCAAGTCCTATTCTTTAAGCGCTCTATTTTCTTTGAAGAAAAATCGTATCTTCAAAGTGTTTGTTTCTGTGCCTTGGCGGCTTTGCTTGTGTCTGTTTGGATGTGTGCGGTATGCGCGTGCGGATGGGATTTTACACAGCTCGAAGGACAACAGAATGCTGTAGCGAGGAAGCAAGTGGCGCTCTGGGAGAAGAAAGCGGAGATGGCCAAAGACCCGTCACTTCCTCCGGTTAGTCTTTTCATATCGGTAGAAACGTATTCTCATTTCCGAAGACGAATGAAACAATCTACAAGCTAGGGACGCACAGGACGTAGGCCGTTGATGGCCCAGACACACAAACACACGTATTCTATATGTGCACGCTCACCCTGAACCTTGAACACCCATCCACGATCAGGCTGGTAGCGGTGTCAAACGGGGCAGAAGCGGGAATGCCCACACATGAACACACACACACACATTTGCACCTGTACTGGCGCTTGCTCACGGCCGTAAACTGCTCACGTGTCTCCCCGTAGATTGGAGAGAGATTCTGAAGGGATCCTGGAAAGATGACTCAATTTGCCGTTTGTTTGGTTCCCTTTTACGTCCCAATTTGCGTCCGTATCTGACAAGTCTTTCAAAGAGGAAGTCTACGGTACTTCAGGGTGAAAATACAAACTCCGATAGCTGTAGTCTTCTGGATGCTGAGTACAATGATATGAATCCCAGTACTGTAAACCTTGAAATTATTGCGATAGTCTAATTTCTGCGAAATTCGCGACCGCGTGGAAATCGCGAAATTTAGACAGCGCGAAAAGGAGATCCATGAAAGGTTTAGCAAGAATGCCATTCTGCAATCGCAAAATTAAAACCTTGCAAACCTGTCCGGATTCTGAAAACGCGAACTAAAAACGCCGCGAAAATTTCACGCTTTGACATTCTCCCTCTTCGACCTATTCGAAGTGATGCAGATTTATTCTTGGACTTGGGGCATGCAAAGGCAATGTTGTAGGATCTCTGCTGGCTAGCTCCTATGGATTCGGTTTAAAGAAGCTGTAATAATTGTTCCCTAATCGGATATAAAGGACTCGGATGGAGAGCCAAGAGTATATTTATGAAAAAGAAAAAAAGGACCAAGGAACTACAAGTTACGCTATAATGTGCACGAACACCACCAGTTACTAAACAATCAGTTCAGCTCATCAGCTCATTACCGTCTGTCAGTGTCGTCCGATGTTAGCGCATGAGCTGATTGTTCGGTAACTGGTGATGTTAGCGTAACTTGTATTTCCCTGGTCCATTTTCTTTTCTTTCTTACAATAGGATATACTCCAGTGCGAATGATGTTGCGACATTGCCGGTGATTAATGAAGAAAGTGTCTGCTCCGAATGCTGGAGCTCGCGCTTCCTGCCGACAGACTTGGCACTTGACTGACTCACGACTGCGCGTGGAGCACACGAGAAGCACGTCAAACCTTTCACTTGGCAAACCTGCAAGAAAGCACAACTCCCTGCTCAATACACAGTGTTTCGGGGAATTCACCCCTCAAGTCAGTCGGCAGGAAGCGCGAGCTCCGACGTTCGGAGCAGACACTTTCGTCAGGATATACTCCAGTTTTAATAAATACTGACGTTCTACAACTAACTACCGTCGGTCAATGTCGTGCAATGTTTAAGGAAATCATTTTATTTTGAATGACCGCCGTTCATTGGGTGCGTTGCTAGTTGTCACCACAATCCGCGATATTCATGTTAAAACAAAATGGCATCACGATTTATTGAAAGTGGTATAGTTGGTGGTACGAGTGTTCAAAACCATTTGAACTTCATACTGTTCGTCTTCTTTTTGACATGCTCTCTTTCCATCGTCCTTAGCTTTTGTTTGTTGAGAGCTGTTTGGCTTTCTCCTATACCTCTGGGGGATGCCAAGTGATGGTTTTGAGAGGCTGGTGATGGCTGTGAGCGATAGTTTGCCGATCGGCGTCGTCCTCGCTATAGCGATGAAAATACTAGTTACTGCGCACCTGGCAGATATCACAACACGTCGGAGCGTCCAGGAGCAAAGGAATCTTGGGTTTTCACTGGAATCTAGTTCCTCCAGCATCGTGTAGCCCACCGTCGGTGAATGGCGGTCCAGAAAGGTCGAACCTGGTCTTCTGCAGCATCTCGCAGTCCTGCGAGGCACACTGAATACGCCTGTCATGTATTCTACAAATAAAAATCACGAAGTAGTGGACTTTACAGTGATGAGTCTATCCTGTATGCTACAAAAGACGCAGGAAATGTGACTGGTGTCTGTACACTCAGTGACTGGACGCCAACACCCCAGTCTTCTCCTACAGGATCTGTTTGACATTGACATTATGCAGTAGGTCGGCATTGACCTGGTTTGGCAGCTATCGTAATAGTATCTGCCTGGTTGGATGTAGCAGGTTGGTGTTTGCTCGTCGTCCAGTCCGGAATGTTCTTGTAACTCGCGGTGGTGTACGCGCAGGGTTTGTGATCATCCCTGTTCACTTCAATATTATCAAACACAACGTTCCCTTTGTCACTCATCTTATCCCGAGTACTGAATTTGCTGACAATATTGCACCACACTTGTCACAACCTACCGCCACTGCTGGCGGTGGCGACTGGTTCGTCAATGGCGGTGACCAGGCTGACTGACTAGCTTCGAGACAGCGGCCTCGTTGTCAACCCCGCGGCAGCCTAAAGGTTGATTTTATCGATCCAGCCTCAGCGCCATGTTGACGATGCCCTAGTGACTGTGTGTCATGGATTGCCTTGCCATCAGCGGTCATTGCCGTCCACCTTGGTGCAGCCCTCAACAACTGGCTCAGCCCATGGGAGTCTCAAGTGGACAAAGTTGTTGCCAAAGTAGCTCAGAAGATTGGTGCATCGTGGTGTAGGTGAGCACATAACTAGGACTTCCCAGCGCCTATTTGTCCAGGCTGCGATACTATGTGACATGCTGTACTGCACATTCTTTTCAGCACTGCAAGGCCGGCAGCTGGACCGACTGCAGGGGCCGCGCACATGCAGGCCGCCTGTTGCCAGTGCAGCATTCTGGAACGTTCCTTCCTTCTGAGATCCGTGGAATAATAACTTTCTTTGCTTCAAAGCAAGTTGCTTACCTTTCTGTTGTGCTCCCAGTGTCCTTCCAACAATAACCTACAGCAATGTTTTATTTTCCTTTCCATTCCCCAACCAATGAATACTACGATGTCGATTCTATTTCTGAATACTTTAGTGTGTGCCCGCGCACGCACGTGTGTGTGTATACCTCACTCGCCACTCGAAGTTCTGCTCCCCATCACTGGAACACTGCCTGTTCTTTCAGGACCTGCCATCATCTGCGGATGGGCATTCAATGATTGTATTGTGTGTGTGTTTCAATCAGAATCAGATCCGCTATCGTTGCTATCAGAGAAAATCTGTGGGTTCACATCCAGTGCATTTGTAGATTTGCGTGCTTTTCTCGCCACGGGCGCATACATGAGACATTGTGTGTGTGTGTGTGCGTCTGTGTGTATGGGGATATTGTCTGTATCGGCTTTTGGTACTAATGTTCAGGTCTGTGCTTGCATGTGTGAACATGAAATTGTTCGGTTCTGTGCATGCTATTGCTATGTTGTATATTAATGTGTTCCTCTATCTGCAGTCGCCTTTAACCTTCGGTCAAGTTAACGTTTATTGTGCTCTATTTATCGTGCGAATCAAAATAAACAATAATAACACAAGTCATGCTAGAGTGACGACATGTGCGTGTAGTAGGGTTGATGCGATGGGACGTTATAATTAGGTGGAACAGAACACACATTGGGCAGATTGATTGGGCATCATTGATTGTGCTCAGTCTAAACAGTGAACATAATAATTATCTCCAGTGACAGACTGAAGCGGCTAGCCTCCAATAGGTAGCTGGCACTAGTCGCTACTGCTTGTTTGACAGGTGCCGCCAGAATCCCTGTTGTGTCATGCTATAGATGCACATGCCCTATTCTGGGGCATGCTGAGGTACTTTGATTTTGTTGACTGCATGTAGACAGCATCCAATAGTAGTACTCGTAGACCTTGGCTCTTTGTAGGTCAACCACCATCGCATGGATCGATCGGTGACTATGCACTTGGAGGTTGGAATAGCCCGCGCTGAACAGATCTTGCCATGGCCCAGGGAGTGAACTCGCTTTCTCGACTATCCCGGTTTGAGTTAACCAGCATGAGTGGTGCAATTTGTCCATACCATGTTGCGAGCTCACACTTGTTTGGGCAGGTTTTGAGCTGCACCACGAAACAAAGCGAAATAACGGCGTGACTGTAGAGCAAGGAAGCGGCGAGACGGCACTTCCAGGACGAGACAGGCAGTAGAGATGTGTTCACTGCACGAGCAACCTCTCAAACCCTGCCGGTACTCCACAGTTACAAGAAAATGTCGGACTGGACGACGCGCCAATGCAAACCTGCTACATCCACCCAGGCAGATAGCTGCCAAACCAGGCCAATGTCGACCCACTGCATACCGGTATGTCAATGTCAAACAGATCGATGAGGAGAAGACTGGGATGATATTGGCGTCCAATGTACGGACACCAGTCACATTTCCTGCGTCTTTTGTAGCATACAGGATAGACTCATCACTGTAAAGTCCACTACTTCGTGATTTTTATTTGTAGAATACATGACAGGCGTATTCAGTGTGCCTCGCAGGACTGCGAGATGCTGCAGAAGACCAGGTTCGACCTTTCTGGACCGCCATTCACCGACGGTGGGCTACACGATGCTGGAGGAACTAGATTCCAGTGAAAACCCAAGATTCCTTTGCTCCTGGACGCTCCGACGTGTTGTGATATCTGCCAGGTGCGCAGTAACTAGTATTTTCATCGCTATAGCGAGGACGACGCCGATCGGCAAACTATCGCTCACAGCCATCACCAGCCTCTCAAAACCATCACTTGGCATCCCCCAGAGGTATAGGAGAAAGCCAAAACAGCTCTCAACAAACAAAAGCTAAGGACGATGAAAAGAGAGCATGTCAAAAAGAAGACGAACAGTATGAAGGTCAAATGGGTTTGAACACTCGTACCACCAACTATACCACTTTCAATAAATCGTGACGCCATTTTGTTTTAACACGCATACGGTCCATTTGATCATCTGTAATTCTGTATTTGATTCAGTGCCGGCAAGACTGTAAGTCTGTGGTGTTTATTGCTTTCCATCAACCTGCTTGAATTTGATAGATTGTTCCGGAATTACGTTACTTCACGAAAGCCTGCTAAATCGTGTGTTCCGTTCGTTCTGGAACTTGAAAACCTAAATTGTGTGTTCTATTCGTTTTGAAAACCAGCTAAATATTGTGTCCCATTCGTCGTGTATATTCAAAATTCTTCTGTTCATCCATTTTCTTGTTTTATTTTTCAGGAGGTGAAGAAGTTCCTTGTTGACCGTGCGGACAAGTGTTTGTGTATGCTGGCTGAAAGAAGAGATACACTTGCCGTGGCATCATCGTCGTTCGGCACTATCGAGCCGGCTGTGTGTCTGGCCGAGTTATGGAAGCTGTGCTGCCAGTATGTCGGTGCTGGGCATTCGGATGTGATCCTGCGTGCTGCTCGGATGTGCGACACTCTGCAGAGCGAAGATGAGATTGTTCGTGTTCTAAGTCACTTCTGTCAGGAGAAACAGTGCGGTCCTGATCGGTGAGTAAAATTATGAATAATGCTAGCACACACACACACACACACACACACACACACACACACACACACACACACACACACACACACACACCACACACACACACACACACACACACACACACACACACACATCTCTGCTATCCGGACCTCGAGGTTATGGACACCTCGGTCTGCCGGGCACCCTGTAGGTGTATTTTAGTGAAAATAATTACTTCTCTCTTGTCATATTACTACTCTCTTGTCATATTACTACTCTCTTGTCATATTACTACTCTCTTGCCATATTACTACTCTCTTGCCATATTACTACTCTCTTGCCATATTACTAATCTCTTGTCATATTACTACTCTCTTGTCATATTACTACTTTTTTGCCATATTACTACTTTTTTGCCATATTACTACTTTTTTGCCATATTACTACTCTCTTGCCATATTACTACTTTTTTGCCATATTACTACTCTTTTGCCATAATTATTACTACTCCTTTCCATCTTTTGTGGAAATAGTGATGCCAGATCTCTGGCACTTCCACATTAAGACGTACATGTATGTGATAATACAGAAGCCTTGCTTGGTAGTTTAACATGTTTTTCGATTTTGACAGCATGTTACAAGGCGAGGACGCGTAGTGCTCCTGACTACAACCATAAGACGTGATCCCTGCAGCGGCAGCAACGTGAACAATACTACGGCGGCAACACGACGACTTCTACAACACAAAAAACGGATATTATAAAAATCCTACCAACCCGTAGAGTAACGAGGGTCCGAACCTGGGTTTTCCCAATACGGTTCAAATGGTCGCAAGACCGGGACTCCGCCAACCGGTTTATGGTTGTAGTCAGGAGCACTACGCGTCCTCGCCTTGTAACATGCTGTCAAAATCGAAAAACATGTATGTGATGTAGAGTTCTGGATATTCACAAGTGGTGGACTGTACCTGGTCCCTGACCACCTGGACAACAGCGATAGTAATGTGCTTTTTCTTTTTCTTTTTGTTAATCGACCACGATGATGTTGTTGGCACTGGTGCATCCCGAGGACATGTGCTACGGAAGCAGGGAAACAAGAAAATGAAAGTACAACGCAAAGTTACGATAAGAATAGTGAAATTAACACAGCCTGTGTCACCTCTGACAAACGTGTGTGTGTGTGTGTGTGTGTGTGTGTGTGTGTGTGTGTGGTGTGTGTGTGTGTGTGCGTGCGTGCATGCGTATGTGTGCTACGTTTGCACTGTGGGAAGCGCTATCGCCGTCGCCAGGACTTGACTCGCCACGCCCTCTTTTGCTCGTGACTTGAACACTGTTGGTCCTTTCGGGACCTGCTATCATCTCCGTATGGGCATATTGCATTGTATTGCGTATGTGCGTGTGTGCTTATCTGTGTAACTGTTTGTGCGTGTGTTCACGTGTGTGCGTATATGTGTTTTGTGCGTGTGTTCACGTGTGTGTGTTCTTGTGTATGTGCACTTGCAGGACATTGAAGGTTTCCATCATGTCACCTCTTGTGGCAAGGAAAAGATGCCAGCAGTACCCGCGTCCATTGTGGTGCTTCTTGCTGCTCAAGCACTTCTTTATCATCAAGAAGAAGGGCATAGATGTTAGCACTCAAATCGGTGCTTTGCCAGCTATCGACTAGAGCCTAGCGAGCTGGATTGCTCCTGCGGTTTCTTCTCCTGCCAGCGTCCCGGCCATACAACCTGCTGCTGCCAGCGTCTCGACGGCCAAACTGCCTGCTCTATGAGGCATGGGTATGCCACCAGCTAGCGGGGGTATGCCACCAGCTAGCGGGGGTATGTGAGCTATTGCCGGCAGTTTGACCGCGATCCCGTGTGCCATCGGCGCAGCCTTTTTCCTGTGACAAATGCTGTTCTCAACATACCCATCATCTAGACCCGCCACTCAGTATTGCTTACTATATTGAATTGAGTGATTGTGGGAAAGATATTGGGTGGATCCCAGGCTATTACGCAACAAAGGAAGGAATTGCTACTATTATTCAAGACTGGGACCGAGACAATTGTCATCACACTTCTCTACTTGTTTTGGCTGCCACGTATGCGGCAGTGCTTCTTTAGACAGCACACCCACTAGAGACTGCACAACTGTTACTGCATATCTATCTATTTTAATGTATGTGTGTATGTGTGTGTGTGCATGTGCGCGCGCTTGTGTGCATGGGTGAGAGTGTGTATGTGTGTGCGTGTGTGTGTGTATGTGCGTGCGCCCGCACGTGTGTATTTGCGTACTTCTTTGAAGTATGTGAGAGAGACATTAGATGGCCTACCATGAAATGATTATATTTCACCATAATTATAGGCCTTTTTGGTATTTTTCTTGTCCTCTTGCCGCAAAGTGCTGTTTTCCTGTTCTTCCTATCCACTTCTTCCTACCCACTTCTTCCTACCCACTTCTTCCCATCCACTTCTTCCTACCCACTTCTTCGGAAAGTTCCTAGTAGACTTTAGGACGTAGCGTTAGATGTGTTCTGATCACTGACTCCTGTCGTTAGTATCGTCAATATTGAATTTCTTTTATTCCCATAGCTATGCAAAATACGTTACCTTAGTAGCATCTGGTGCTAGCCAGGGTGCACAGCGCTCTATTTCATAATGTCTGTGTGTGTGTGTGTCGTACCTCGTACGTCCGTCATCACACGCGACAGGGCACAAAGGCTGGCGCAGGCAGCGCGCCAGGCCTGCCGCATGCGTCCAACTGTGACACGTGACTTTAATAGCGCCAGCTCGACTAGCTGGCTCAGCAAATATAAGCATGATAAACGAGCATAGCGAAGGGTGCCGTGTTTGCTCTCGTCGCTTTTCAACTTTACCCCCCCCCCCCCTCCCCTTTCCTGGCCCCACCAGTGCAGTAACCGGGTTCTGGCAAGACATAGTGCTTCATACTGGCCTCGCCCGCACCCTAACACTAGTAGCTTGCCGGTATTAAGCTATGGCTGGTATACCCGCTAGAGAAGAACAAAGCAAAACTGAACAATATCAAACTTGGAAAGAATGGACCAAAGATTTATACGAAAATTTCTTAAAACAGTTCTAAACCTTTGGTCCTTTCGTTTAATCTGAACACGATGTGTTCGCTTTCCTCCTACGGTAGCTTGAACCGGTTTTGAATTTGTCTTTTTAAGAAACGGTTTCACAACTAATGTCACGTCACGTACACCAGGGTCGTCGGAACCGGTGCGGCAGGTGCGCCCAAAGCCACACCAATACTTCCATCTCGTGCCTTGTGAAGCAATGAAATAATAATTATGATGGCCTATTTCAGACCAATTTCCCTAATATTATCCCAGGGGAGGATCCCTGGACCC